GTGGGTTTTCTCTGGGTCCTCCGGTTTCCTCCCACTGCAAAAGACCCCTACGCGCAAGCGATTTATGTAAATAAAATTGAACCATGTGTTAGTTCCGAAATGACCTAGTTTGTGTCGAGTGGACGTTTAACCCCATCTCTCTCTCTCTCTCTCTCTCTCTCTCTCTCTCTCTCAAATCAGGACAAAACCAAGCTCCGAGTTCGCAAAGCATTCTCAGACTTAAAGATACATTATGTAAAATTTAGATACAGAGCTGACAATTCTTGCTATAATAGCTCAAAAATAGATAATGTAAAATGAAAATATTGAAAATTTCATTCAAATTACTTCATTCTGAGCCAATAGTTATCACTGTTTGTAGTTTTGACAAGATGTGTGCAGTATGGTAACCAGGGCACAGGTATATTCGAGACTTAGCCTCGCTTTTCCATTTTTAAATTAAATTTTTAAATGCCACGGAGAGTTGATTATGGTCTTGTTTTGTTAAAGGAGCTAAATCGCTAATATTTGGGACCTAGAAATTGACACAAATGGGTCTCAACGCATATAATAATATAATGTAAATGTATATGAACTGATTTAAATTCAACCGTTTCTGTTTTTACTGTAATTTCTAATCAGTTATGTTCGGTGAAATACGCCAGAAGTGTCAATAGAATGGCAATCTTTAGCGTCTGGTTATTCCAGTCTACACCGATGATATGTATTACGCATAGTCTCCAGATAAGAATATAGCGTCACCATTTGACATGACTTGTGAAATATGTCTAGCCGCGTTTTTTGAGTCCCTTGTTCCAAATGGCGCTGAAAGGCATTATGGTACACGATTCGTGTACCAATGGTAAAATGTTTATTTTGTCTTGAATATTGGATATCAGAAACCCATATTTTCCCTGTAAAATCACAAGAACAATGTTGATTTGAATTGACAAATAATTTGTGTTTTCAATGTCGAAGATTTTTGATGATATTGAGTTACAGACTTAGCTACTTTAATGTAAAGGCAATTTGCTGAAAATTTCATTCAAATTGATCCACTATGAACAGAGAACTAAGCGATTGAAATTTCCGCCTATCCTCGATCATCATTACTAAAGTCAGTACGATAAACAGCATAGTATCTATTATCCATTTAATCGTTAAATCGTGAAGGAAAGTTATGCAGTAAATCGGCTCATAATCCACTAAAGATCGCAGGCTACCCATGCCATCTAGTGTTGATTATGGTCTGGATAGGTTAATTAATGTCTAATTAATAATTTAGATAACATTTCAGGCCTAAAGAAAGACCTGCAATAGACATATTTGCCTCTTGCATTATGTATATTTAATAGTTTATATAACATTTCAGAACTAAAGACCTGCAAATAGGCAGATTAAGCACTTGCATAATGTATGTTTAAGTTACGAATTTAATCAACTTTTAATCAACTTTTAATCACTGTTTATGAGAAATATCGTTGATCCAGAAACACAAAACTTTGCACATACAGTTTCTTGTTGTATTTGATACAGAAAGGGCTATATTTTAGTTAAAAACAAGACGAACAATTTTGAGTAAATTCTAAACTTAAGTCTGAGAATGCTTTGTGAACTCGGGGCCAGGGCTATTTAATACGTTTTAATATATGTATGTTGATAGCCTAAGTTTTGCGAGGGTGCCACAACGGCGAACACTTTATGTCTTCAACAAACGAAACCGGAATTGGATGTAACGTATCGTCAACACCAATGTGTATATTGGACGTCGGTTTTTAGACACTGTCCTGCAACACCATAGGCGTACGGGGAAATTTTTGACTGGGGGCGGGGCGGTGGTGGTTGGTGCCCAAAAAATGTAGTTAGGTTCTTAGTATGTTACATAATAATAACAAATTCGTTGTTAAATTGGACACATTCAAGAACACAATATTTTTTTTATACAACTTTTACAAAGTACAATTGTGTGCCCAAATTTTCCCAGAATTTGGTGCCCAAAATGCGGGGGGGGGAGGCGGCCAGCACCCCCAGCTCGTACGCCTATGTGCAACACTATCAAGGTAGAAACGGCCAACGCCGGGAGCGAACCCGAGACTCCAGGGTTAGTGAGCCAACGTCTTACTCAGTGAGCCACCGTGGCTCCCTAGTTATATTGTGTACTAGCTGGATACCCAGCTTCGTCCGGGGGCCAAATTCGCCCGTGGCCCAAATTACACGGCCTAATGTGGGAGGTGGATCGTGGCGAGGAGGCGTGATGGACGAACATACACACACACACGCACGCACACACACCCACACACACCCACCCCCTACATCTTTAATTTCATCTATATAGATAGATAGATATACTTTAGACAATTGGAATATTGAGATTCGAAAATATAGCTTCATTGATCTACATTGTTTATTACTGTCGCAGCTTGTTACAGATTTGATCACCATGCGCCATAACATTTTTATTGCCTGTAGATCCAATTGTGTTCATGTTTAACATAATCATACTATATGTCTCTGCAATTTGTAATAATTTTAAAATTTAAATGACCGTACGACCATTGCCCGAAGGCCCAAGAGCATGTACCCATATTTGGTAAGAATGTTTGTATGTTTCCTTTATGGTTGATATCGTCCGGAATCAGCTGATATTGAGGGTTTATTCTCACGAAGGCACAGTTATTGACCGTAACGGATTAAACGAGGTCGTTTTCGACGACTTCGTGGGAATCCAGCTCTTAGGGATTAAAATCGTAACAATGGTGTTATAGATTGTTATGATAAGAATTTAAACATTCATAATCCCCAAAGTAACTAATTAACCAAAATTATAGCATCATTTTTGGCATAAGAAATGAAAACATAACTACACTATAACAACAATTAATTTAATTTCGCCAAAAAAGACACCCTGTCTAAATACTCGAGTAAAGTCAATTCCTCTTCCTCATGTCTTCCTTTTAATTCCTGGAGCTGGGTTTGGATTTGAGCATATTTATATCTCTTCCTTGGTGGTTAATATTTTGTTCTTGTTGTAGAAATGTGATCATTTCAAAAACATTCGGATGGGATTTTCCAACTAGCTTCTTGATTCTTGCATGCTATCCTTCCAGAGTGTTGTTGGTTCAGAGTGAACATAAATTCATAAAATCTTTAACACCGTTAATTGGGTCCTAATAGCAACATGCCTCTCTTCAAACGAAAGCCGACAAGTAGATATCTGCGCCTTCGTGGGAAGGATCAATTTTGGTCACGTTCTGTAACTGCGCCTTCGTGGGAATACACCATATTGAGAACTTTTGTATTGTTTATTCCTTTTGTATTGTTTATTCCTTTTGTATTGTTTATTCCTTTTGTATTGTTTATACCTACTCCGCGTGTCTGCGCCAATCGAGATAAGAAATGAAATGAAATATGGTTTTATGGCACGTCAGCTCCAACCGGGCCTATATTGCGCCAAAATCGAGATAAGAAAGAGGGATATACATAATGTCGAGCAGCTTTTCCGCGTACTGTTCATGAATTCCAACTGACAACGGGTCCTGTACCACTACAAGGAGAGAGAGAGAGAGAGAGAGAGAGAGAGAGAGAGAGATGGGTTAAACTTCCACTCGACACAAACTAGGTCATTTCTAACTAACATGTGGTTCAATTTAATTTCAATAATTCGCTTGCGCGTAGGGGTCTTTAGCAGTTGGAGGAAACCGGAGAACCCGGAGAAAACCCACGAGGTTTGACAGGCGACCCTACTCCTTGTCACATACAAGGAGAAACCAGACAAGAAAACCATCTGCGTGTCTGCGTCAACCGAGATAATGACAATCTGAATAAAATAAAGATCTATATTTTGTTTCGTTTTTTTTTATACTTTCGATGGCCTACACAACATGAAGATCTGACCGGTTGTAGCGATAGGTCGCGTCAGAGGTCGTCAGACATTTGATTAACCAATCAGCATTGGTGTTTCTAGTGGATTACCCACAGTTCCGTGCGCCACACGCCAAAAGCTCGCTGTAACATACCGTTTCATTATCTAAACCCTCACGCCATCCAGAATACATCAATGATAACAATTCTTCCAGATCCGAGAGTAGTAAAGACAATTAAAACGAAATTTTGAACTATAAAAAAAGAAACGAAATAGGATCTGTGTTTTAATCAGATTGAGATTCTAAAGACGGGTATAGCTTATTTCCTTTATGTAATATTTTCCTTGTTATAAATCTTTTCAGCTGATATTGAAAAGTCTGTTTTGTTTAATTCATTTGTGAATATATGAATGTACATCTTGATACTACTAAAACATCTGACATTTCCGTGTGGCCAAGCAGAGATGAAACTCACATTTTAAAAAGAATATAGGAAGCTTATTCAAACCATACATTTCATTATCACGGCTTTCCTGAACCCATTACTGACACGGATTTATAAACATTTTGTGCTCCAAAAAAGTAGTTTCAATAATGATAGAGGATTCTAACTGGCAAGTGTTTCTGCGATGGTTAATCATCCACTCTACGGAAACAAAATTGACTAAGTGAAAAGTTTATTCCATTGAAGAGTCCAGCGGAAGAACGATCTATGTCACATTTTTGTCTTTTCGCATAAAAGGCAAAACGGACTTTTGGACGAGAATGCTTGATGCGAACAGAAAAACGAGTGGGTTTAATTACAACTTCAAAATGATGTTTAATACGAATCATAATTACCAGTACAACAACTGACTTCAACTGCTTAGCCAAATTAAGGTCAAATAAAGGGTACGATGGACGTATTTGTCCGGGAGGCCATTTCAGAAGAGCCTTGGTTCGATGTGAATCCGATCGTTTTTACCTGAAATTGATTGTTCCACAGAAAGCTTATACAATTTGCTACCAGATGGCGCCATTAGCTGGGGTTCGTTGAAAAAGTGACTTAGATCGTTCTTCCGCGGGGCTCTTCAATTGCAAAGTAGTTGGAGAAATTTGTTAGAAAAAAATCACTTACAGCAAATGGTTAGATTTTAATAACCATTTTGAAAATATTACCTGTAAAATCTGATAGTGGAACGCATTGGAAAAATGAACTGGTTCTGCTTCGACTGGGAAAATGAAGACGGGCATACGCCATACAGTCTGTCATACGTATAGTTCCTCCTTGTTATTTATACTAACTTGATATTCGAATAAGCCGTATCTCATATATTTCATATATATAGTTTCTCCTTGTTATTTATACTAACTTGATATTCGAATAAGCCGTATCTCATATATTTCATATGTATAGTTTCTCCTTGTTATTTATACTAACTTGATATTCGAATAAGCCGCATCTCATATATTTCATATGTATAGTTTCTCCTTGTTATTTATACTAACTTGATATTCGAATAAGCCGTATCTCATATATTTCATATGTATAGTTTCTCCTTGTTATTTATACTAACTTGATATTCGAATAAGCCGTATCTCATATATTTCATATGTATAGTTTCTCCTTGTTATTTATACTAACTTGATATTCGAATAAGCCGTATCTCATATATTTCATATGTATAGTTTCTCCTTGTTATTTATACTAACTTGATATTCGAATAAGCCGGATCTCATATATTTCATATGTATAGTACCCCCTTGTTAACGAGAAAGCGGCGTCGTTAGGATTTCAAGTAGTTTCCGTGAACTTAATTCATACGGTTCAAGTGCTTGGCTGATACGTCCCGCAACACAAAATTCCGATGGTCTTTTTCGGTCAACAACGACATCGAACACGGGACATCCAGGTTAGGGAGCCGATGTCTTACTAACCGAGTCACCGCGACTCCCCGGTGGAACGTAATTAGCACTAGAGTGGAGAAAGAATGCTACCGCATAGATAATAGTAAGTGCTCCAACATAAATAGACCCCCATAAAACAAACGTGCCCCTTTCCTTGGGGCCCCTTACATTGGACCCCCCCCCCCCTCCAGTGGACTTGTGGGCCCTGTCTCAGGGTGTTCATATCAAATTCTCTCCCCGGATTCTGTTTTTTCTTTCAGGTTTATTCTTTGAGATTTTCAAAAAGAAAATCGGGTCTGAGTCTGGCGCCCTATGGCGCCTCAGCTTTAATCTGTACTAACTAGTTCGGGGGTTGGATGGCCGAATGGTTAGCACGTGTGCGCTGTATCATACGGTCTGTCATTGAGTCAACTGGCGTGGTTTCGATTCCCCGGTTGTACGTGACAAAGAGTAGGGTCGTCTGTCCAACCTCGTGAGTTTTCTCAGGGTCCTCCGGTTTCCTCCCACCGCCAAAGACCCCTTCGCGCAAGCGAATTATTGAAATAAAATTGAACAATATGTTAGTCCCGAAATAACCTAGTTTGTCGAGTGGACGTTAAACCCCATTTCTCTCCCTTTCTCGTTATGGTTACGCAAACCTCTACACGTAATACATAATGGCAGATGTTATTGATAGTTATTGTGCCATTTTGACACATGAAAGCAGAATCCAAGTCTCAAAAGTCGCTGGTTTATTTATATAATATGTACAGGATGCCGAGTGTAAATGAAATAAAATGAAATCGGGTTTATCGTCCTAGCTCCGAACTGGGCTAATGAAGACGGGCATACACCATACAGTGTGCTATGAGGGAAATTTTGCCCGGACAGCGGCACTACGGCCTATATCGAACTCGAACTGCCAAGGGATCTTTTACGTGCACGCCAAGCTGTACACGGGACTTCGGTTTTTCGTCCCATCCGAACGACTAGACAGCTTTCCTTGTCAGCCCCTCCGTCCTGCATCACTGACAAGGGAGAACCACGCCGGAAAATCTGGATGAACTTTCTCGGCCAATGCAGGGATCGAACACCCGACCTCCAGGCTAGCGAGCCAGCGTCTTACCCACTTAGCCACGTGATCCCCGGATGCCGAATGTTGAGAAATTCTCAATGCATAATATATTTGTAAATACTATTGTACTGACATTCCTTTTAAAAATTTAGCTCTCACAATATTGCAATTTGCAATAGTTATACGGAGGAAGTGGGTGGGGGCTATTATTGGAGGATTTGTCAGTCAATCCCAGAAGGTATTTTGAATATATAGGAGCCACGGTGGCTAAGTGGGTAAGACGTTGGCTCGCTAGCCCGGAGGTCGCGTGTTCGGTCTTTGCATTGGCCGCAGTGGCGGCGCCAGCCGTCGGTGATTGGAGGAGCAAAGCTGGGGCAAAGTCCAAGGTTAAGGGAGCAAAGGCACGCGCTTCAACTAGGAGTAGGGGCCTCCCCCAGAAAATTTTGAAAAACAGGTTGCCGGAAATGCAGCCTGGCAGTATTTCAGGCGCTGATCCATGAGGTAAAGTGTCAAAAGAACTGACTTGCGAATCACGACGAAGCCCACTCAATAGCGTCAAAGTAGGGAGTCCTCCCCCAGAAAATTTTGAAAAATAGACTGCCGGAAATGCTGTCTTACAGTATTCTGTCAGGCACCGATCGTCGAGATAAATAGGTCTAACAAGATACCGTCCGTCGCCTGATCACTAGTTTATCCGACTAGAGAACAAAATGTCAAACGAACGGACTTGCGAACCTCAATGAATTCCCCTTGCGAGCGCCAAAGTAGCGAGTCCATTGGGGACCTCGCCATGAAAATTTTGAAAAATAGACTGTCGGAAATGCTCTACAACCTTGCCCCCCCCCCCCCGGCGCCACCACTGATTGGCCGAGAAAGTTCGTCAGGATTTTCCGACGTGCTTTCCCCTTCATTATCCTGATGGGCGTAAAAATGGGAGGACGTTAAACCCCATTTCGTTTCATATGTACCACAGATACATAAAACACAGTCACCACAAATTCCGATAAACACATGGCAAGGGAGATAATAACAGTTAAACATTATATACATTATGCATGAGCTAAATCTGCCTATTTCAGGTCTTTCTTTAGGTTTGAAATGTTATCTAAATTATTAATTAGACATTAATTAACTTATTCAGACCATAATCAACTCTTGGTGGCATGGCTTGTCTGTGATGTTTATTGGATTATGATCCGGTTTGCTGCCCAACTTTCATGATTTAATCATGAAATGGATAATGGAGACTATGTTTTTATCGTACCGACTTTAGTAAGGATGATAGCGACTAGGCCGAAAATTCAATCGCTAAATTCTCGGTTCGCAGTGGATCAATTTGACTGAAATTTTCAGCAAATTAACATTACATTATCTAGTCTATTATAGTGACAACTGACAGCTTTTTATCTAATCTCCCATAATGTATATTTAAGGTCAAGTTTTGCGAAATGAAATGGGGTTTAACGTCCTACTGTTCTGCCCCAACTGGGATAATTAAGTCGGGCATACGCCATACAGTGTGCTATGAGGGAAATTTTGCCCGGACAGCGGCACTACGGCCTACTCATATCGAATTCCAACTGCCAAAGGATCTTTTACGTACACTCCAATGTGTACACGGGATCTCGATTTTACGTCCCATCCGAACGACTAGACAGCTGACAAGGGGAAATCACGTCAGAAAATCTCGATGAACTTTCTCGGCCAACACCCAGAGCGAACCCGCGGCCTCCAGACTAGCAAGCCAGTGTTTTTTTTTTCAGATACATACATTCAAATGTGTCAAACAATATAAAATTAAAAATCAAACATTAAAAGACAATTATATCACAGACTGAAAATAAACGATATAACTATAAGTAAATAAATCACAATATTTTAACATGGTTATTGTCTAAAACACTAGAAGGGATGAAGGAGAAAAACTCGTGAGCGAACCCGCGGCCTCCAGGATAGCGAGCCAGTGTGTCACCCACTTAGCCATCTTGTCTCCCTGCAAAGATCTATCTGTTTATCGCCAATACAGCAGGGAAGACTAATGAAATAAATAGTATTTTGAAGACTCTGTCGCTTTAAAGTAAAACTTAAAGAAGAGAGAGAGAGAGAGAAATGGGGTTTAACGTCCACTCGACACAGACTAGGTCATTTCGGGACTAACATATGGTTTATATTTATTTCAATAATTCGCTTGCGCGTAGGGGTCTTTAGCAGTGGGAGGAAACCGGAGGACTCGGAGAAAACCCACGAGGTTGGACAGGCAACCCTACTCCTTGTCACGTACAACCGGGGATTCGAAACCACGCCAGTTGAAAACTTAAAGGAATGACGATATAAATATCCATATGACAAATGTTAATTGGGCCAATGGACCGAATATAAATACAAGTTTGTGTAAATTGAACGTTAAACACCCCCTCTCCTTCCTCCGCCCGCCTCCCCCCTCTCTCTCTCTCTCTCTCGTGTGCATTAACTGCTGGCTTTGTTTCTGTTATACCCGTTGCTAAGGTAAACAAAACAACCTAGACAGATAGTCGTTTGACATGTGATATCTGATCTTTTAATAGTGAAGCAGTCCAAAGAAAAGACGTAATAGCGACACACCAGTCGTGTAATAAATATATCAGGCTATATTGATAAATATATCACGTAAGTAGTAATTTTTTTCAAGACGGCTTAAACGAAATGAACTGTGTGTGTCTACAACGTCCCATAAAAAAAAAGGAATGAAATGGGGAGAGAGAGAGAGAGAGAGAGAGAGAGAGAGAGATGGGGTTTACCGCCCACTCGACACAAACTAGGTCATTTCGGGACTAACATATGATTTAATTTTATTTCAATAATTCGCTTGCGCGTAGGGGTCTTTAGCAGTGGTAGAAAACCGGAGGACCCGTAGAAAACCCACGAGGATGGACAGGCGACCCTACTCCTTGTCACGTACAACTGGGGATTCGAAACCACGCCAGTTGAGAAATGAAATGGGGTTTAACGTCCTACTGTTCTGCTCTGACTGGTCTAATGAAGACGGGCATACGCCATACAGTGGGCTATGAGGGGAATTTTGCGTGGACAGTGGCGCTACGACCTACTCTTATACCGAATTCCAACTTCCAAGTTATCTTTAACGTACACGCCAATGTGTACATGGGACTCCGGTTTATCGACCCATCCAGTGTGCAATGAGGGAAACTGAGCCCGGACAGTCCCGCTACGGCCTACTCTTCCATCGAGTTCCAACTGCTAAGGGATCTCTTACCTCCATGCCAATGTGTACACGGGACCTCGGTTTTCGTCCCATCCGAACGACTAGACAGCTGTCCTTGCTAGACCCTCCGTCCTTCATCACTGACAAGGGGAACCACGCCGGGTCTCATAAAGAACAGTTTAAGAGTCATGATATTTATCACCCAATAACACATTCTACAGTGGATCATAATCCGTAAGAGATATCGTTTACATGAATTTGATTGGTCAATTAAAAAGGAACTACTCTTTGGATCCAATAATATTGTTGGAGAAAAGTTCTCGATTGCCATAAACACTACTCCTCATACGAGAGAGAGAGGAATGGGGTTTAACGTCCACTCGACACAGACTAGGTCATTTCGGGACTAACATATGGTTTAATTTTATTTCAATAATTCGCTTGCGCGTAGGGGTCTTTAGCAGTGGGAGGAAACTGGAGGACCCGGAGAAAACCCACAAAGTTGGACAGGCAACCCTACTCCTTGTCACGTACAACCGGGGATTCGAAACCACGCCAGTTGACTCAATGACAGGCCTCGTGATACAGCGCGCGCGTGCTAACCATTCGGCCCCCCCCCCCCTACTCCTCATAAGGCGGTGACATTGATTAGTTTGTTTATTCAATCAAAGAAACACCAGGTCAATATATAGGACTTTGCAACGGGTGACTTGCTGTCAAAATATGATGTAACACTACGCCTAAATGTAGTCAGGTTCAGTAAAATTTAATCTATACCAAAGAGTTATATTCATTTATTTATGCGCGTTAGACACTCGTCTGTTTTACATTATCGACTAGGAGATTCTCTATATGTTCAGGAATACGAATTGTATACCAAAAACTAATTCAAACCTGTTTCCATATAGCCACAGTAATTATTAAATCCGAGGAATTTCAAATTATCAGAAGTATTCTAATAGGTTTGTACACAGTGGTAGGTGGTAGGTGGCCCTATGGTCTAACGTATGCACTTTCAGGGCCTATTTTAACGTGCCTACAGACACGGACGTGCCTCGAAATGAAAAATCCGTGCTTGGAGAATCTAAAATTCATGCTTTGAAAAGATGAATTCATGGTATGTTATGTATCCTTGTGAATCTGAAAAGATTGCATGAGGAAATTTAGCAAGTGTGTCATTAACAATCATTGTGATCATCAATCAATGCGTTTGGTTTCGATTCAATTTCGTGGATTGTATGTAAATGTCGAAAAATAAAGCTGTTGTTGACGCAAGTAGTCAGCTGCATGTTACAGTAAAGGTTCGTCTGCTTTTGGGCGTTTCTTTGGACTGTCAATGATACCGATACGCAGCTATAAATACAAATGTCAAATATGCAAATTTTAATTTAGGCCTCAATTTTGACCGTTTTAGATGTTGAGGATCAAAAGATCTTGGTTGAATTCGATTTTGGTGCATCTGCTTGGATTATTTCCTTACATACACACACTGAGTGTAACAAAATTTGTGAGCTTTATATTGTGATGAATTGAGAACACGGGAGCAAGAATCATGTCGATAATCAGCATTCCGCGACCTTCTGTTCCTGAGTTAAGCCCCCTCGAAAACCTTGTGGCAGCGACAGGGGCTTGCGTTTTAACCGTGTTTTATTTTTTCACATTTGATGTGAAGTATTTGGGGTCATGAGGCGACAAACCCCATCGAGTTACCAAACTTTGCCAAAAACCTTGTGCACGCGATATAGGCTACAGTTTCATATTCGATGTGAGACATTGGGACAATGAGAGGTTGAGCCCTATCGATTTTCCCTGTTCCCTATCCATATCTTACAGAATCTCGGCGTATCGTGTATGCCAACCGCTTGTTTTGTTATAGAAGTGTAAGCGTGGTACTTCTGGTGAGCCTTTGTTTTGTCACAACTAATTGGTCACGATTTCAGAAGGTTTATTCCAACACATTAGAGCTAATAACGGTGATGGAAGAAGCTAAATTGAGCTACCAAGTTCTGTGTGGAAAATCGCGAGTCACGTTTTGGAAATTTTGTTGGAACCCAAAGGGGGGAAACCCAATCAAAAAACTTCCATCTCCGGAAACCGTGCTTCGTCAATAAAACCTTAAAATAGGCCCTGTGCACTTTAGATTCTAAGGTCTGCTCTTGAGTCAAATGGTGTGGGTGGTATCGATTCCCCACTTGTACCTGACAAACTCTCCCGATGCTGTTACTCTTACCCGCAACCGAAATATTGAAATAGAATTGTCCTTTGTTAGTCCTGACATGAGTTAGTTTTTGTTGAGTGGACGTTACCCCCCCCCTTCCCCTCTCTGCCGCCCCCCCTCTCTCTCTTCCCTTCTTTCACCCTCTTGCTCTCCTTGTTTTTAGATAGGACGTTCCAAATGCAGATGAACAATAAATAAACCCTACACTTCATGTTAAAGACAAAAATCAAATGGGATGTAACATCCTACTATTATTCACCAACAGTTTTTTTATCCCATCCAAACTACTAGACAGTGTTCCTTGCTAGACCCACTGTACTGAACCGCTTACAAGGGAAAACAATGCTGAAAAATCCCGGGATCGAACCCGGTACCTTCTGGTTAGTGAGCCAGCATCTTACCCACTGGGCGGGGGAGGGAGGAAGGGGTGGATGGCCGAATGGTAAGCACGTGTGCGCTGTATCATAAGGCCTGTCATTGAGTCAACTGGCGTGGTTTCGAATCCCCGGTTGTACGTGACAAGGAGTAGGGTCGCCTATCCAACCTCGCGGATTTTCTCCGGATCCTCCGGTTTCCTCCCACTGCTAAAGACCCCTACGCGCAACCGAATATTATTGAAATAAAATTAAACCATATGTTAGTCCCGAAATGACCTAGTTTGTGTTGAGTGGACGTCAAACTCCATTTCTCTCTCTCTTACCCACTGAAACACTGTGCCCGCTATGTAAAATAATCAGAAAATATTAATATATTTGTAGATGAAATGTCTGAAATACGTGGGATAACAGTTGAAAATGAGAAAAGTAAAATGTCTGAAGATGAGATATCAACTGTAGATGATCGGATAACAATTGAAGAAGATCGGATATCAACTGAAAAACGTGATATTAAGAAAAGTAAAAATAGGAGGCCGATTAAAAAACGCGAATCTGTGAAAAGTGATAATAAACCCGTCTTCTCCAATTGCTATTATCCTCCGGTAGACGTGAGTCTATATAAATATAAAAAAGCACCATCGCCGTCTTTCGGCCTCAAGCATCGTCGGGAACACGACTCAGCGGGTCCAGGTCCAGTTTATTATTGTCGCAATTGGAACTTGCTTAAATCCCACGGTTTCCCGCAATCGCTTGGAATACGTACTACAATTGTCCCCCTTACTCCATTGGATTAAATCGCACACTCACTTGCCGTGTACATAGAAAATCTCCTACGAGTCTTTTTTTGATATCAAAAAATATCAACACAAGTCGATAAAGTAAAAAAAAAACCCAACATTTTCTAAGGTTGGGTAGTTCACAGATCTGGTTGCAGACATGATTGCAATGAATGCATGTGAGCTGACTGCTCTGTTGTCGTGATTTGATTGATTGCGAGTTTTAGTTTTTACTTTATCGACGAGTGTTGATATTTGTTGATATCAAAAAATACGAGTAGGGGATTTTATTTATCATCCAATCCTTTCTTACATGCACAAATAGATAGATATAATTCTTTGCTAAAGATTTCACTTTTACTGAACCTGATTACATTACGACGTAGTGATACATCATTTTTTTTGACAGAAAGTCAACCATTGCAAAGTCCTTTATATTGACCCAGTGTTTCCATCAAGGTCAATTAAAAAAAAATAGTTCATTTTTGATAACAAAGCAGTTATACTTTTAATAAAAAGATGAACTGTTCTTTGAAAATAAAGAAAAAGTAGTTCCTTTTAAGGAGATATCGCAGTGGGTTATGAAATTTATCACACACGCGATATCTACTGTAGAATGTATTATTGGGTGATATAAATACACAGTTTATGACATATGGTTTTGATTAGAGCGTTCGTTTGTAAATTAGTTTGAAATACACATCTGACGTCATCTCGTGCTATTCGAATTAATTTTATACTCTAGATGAAATACAATCTGGTTAAAGCGGAAATTGCAAATTTTTAAGTTATATTTTTAAAATTTATGAAAATAAAGCCTGAAAATAGATGGTATCCATAAACAGTCCTACCTTGTGAAAGAATAATCCTATTAATCCCATAATTCACTATTTCCAGCTGAGAAATTGGCAAAAATATAATTTTCCTCTTCATTGTCAAACGTTTGAATATCGCTACTCCATGGTGGAGAATAGAAAACAAGGGAGGTAATTGTGTTATTTTTTTTTACTATGTAAATGAATCTTAAGTGTGAGAATGACACCTATGATCGTATAATTGTGAGTTGACAACCTATTGAGCAAAAGACATAGAAATAATTACGTTTTGACTTTCTTAGAAAATTTGCAATTTCCGCTTTAAAACACGGATCCTATTTCGTTTCGTTTTTATAGTTCAAAATTTCGTTTTACTTGTCTTCAGTGTAGGCCATCGAAAGTATAAAAGAACGAAACGAAATATAGATCTGTATTTTAATAAGATTGGATGAAATATTGAATTCGCGTGGTATTTACATTGAAATTCATTCGCGGAATAGCATCGGTATTTTAAGTTGTGTAATGGTCTCGAGCTAGACTTGAGTTTATTGTAATTTAATGAGCGAATGACCACACCCATTATTATTGAGTTTATTGTAATTTAATGAGCAAATGACCACACCCATTATTATTGAGTTTATTGTAATTTAAAGATACATTATGGGAGATAAGATAAAGAGATGGCAGTTCTCGCTATTATAGTTAAAAACTAGATAGTGTAAAAGTAATTTGCTGAAAATTTCAGTCAAATTGATCCACTATGAGCCGAGAAAGAAGCGGATGAAACTTTTGCATAGTCTCGGTCATCATTACTAAAATCATTAATATAAACAGCATAGTCTCGATTATCCGCTTTTATTGATCTAATTATCAATAGCCGTTAGCGGCATATAGGAATCTAATCCAGCCAACATCGAAGGCTAACCTTTGCATCGAGAGTTTATTATGGTCTGGATAAGTTAATTAATGTCTAATTGATAATTTAGATAACATTTCAGGCCTAAAGAAAGACTTGTAATAAGCAGATTTTGCTCTTGCATAATGCTAGTTTAATAAGCGAAATGCCACACCCATTATAATATTGATTTTATTGTAATTTAATAAGCGAACGGATGCATACATTATAATAATATTGACTTTATTGTAACACAAGCCTGTAACCTTTACTTAGTATAAATCATAATACATGCATATAGCCACGAATAATTAATAAGTTTATATAAGTTATACTAGGTTTATATAGTCCATTATTATATATCATTAAAGATATCATTATATATCATTAATTATTCACGAAGCCGTCTAACTAACTAATTATCTTGGCTGTGAAGTAGTCTATTTGTTATTATTGTTACGTAGTCCCGAAATGATCTAGTTTGTGTCTAGTGGACGTTAAACCCTCTCTCTTTTTGTTATTATTGTTATGAAGCAGTCTAACTATTTGCTATTATTGCTGTGAAGTAGTCTAACTATTGGTTATTATTGTTATGAAGCAGTCTACCTAAATAATTGTTATTCTTGTGAAGAAATCTAATTCTTTGTTTTCTTGCTGTGATGCAACTTGTGCTCAAAATAAACTTAAACTATGGAAACGACTCTTTTTCGTGGAGTTATTACTAAAACTGGGTAGAACACACTCTCTCTCGTTTTTCTATCATTTTTAAATTAAGCAGAGTAGATACAACCCAAAAGGGTGAAGCAGGTTACAAGACGGAATAACGTGCCTTGGATTATGGGTCTCTCAACCACCTCTCTCCGAAGTTTTAAGCTCCCTTTCAACTGGAAAATAGTTTTCAACACTCTCAAGCAGTGTCAAACAGCGATTCAGAAATGCTGCAATCCGAATGTTCCATAAAGCACACAATTTAGGAGCCCTTACTCCCTCCGCCAACTATATATTTATATTGGATTTTGTGCCATCACTGAATCTTGTTCCTAATTCTGAATCAGCGTTCACCATGTCCCCCAGGCGACGCCCATCCTTAGCTCTTTTACCCAAATAGATACCCCAGATTTCTTTCTGGATGTTAATGTGTTTTATAATCACTTCCTAAGTTAATAGATCCATGTGTTTTATAATCACTTCCTAAGTTAATAGATCCATAGTCTGGATCGCTCCAAGAATAGCTAAAAGGTCAGTTGAACACTTACATAAAGTAAAACATTGCCAACAAAAATGAGTAGATTGCCAAAAGTACGTTTGCAACTGGCCGTGACTAAAAGCGTCTATGCGTCATCAAATTTTCCATGGCGTAATCCACTTTAATATGCACTTATATTGATTTTTAACATTTGACTAAGAAAACAAAATAACAACGCTTGATAATCTCATAGCTTGGATTCAATCGGATTAAAACAGAGACATCGATGTTGTTGATGGCAAATAAAAATGGCGACAAATTTTCTATGTAGCAAGCAACATAGATAGATGGGATTTTCAATCTATCATATCTATGTAAATGCTAACGGAATTGATCCATTTCGGAACGATATTCCTCTTAGAGAATCAACTTTCACAACCTGAATAAAACACAGATCCTATGTAGCAAGCAACATAGATAGATGGGATTTTCAATCTATCATATCTATGTAAATGCTAACGGAATTGATCCATTTCGGAACGATATTCCTCTTAGAGAATCAACTTTCACAACCTGAATAAAACACAGATCCTATTTCGTTTCGTTTTTTTATAGTTCTAAATTTCGTTTTAGTAGTCTTTACTACACTAGGATCTAGACGAGTTGTTATATAACCCAAGTTCTGGTTGATGTGAGGAATTAGCCAATGAATCGGTCGGTTACGACGAGTTCTTGGCATACGGTCCATGGAACATTAGGGTACCCCAATAGAAACACCATCGCTGATTAGTTAATCAAATGTCTGACGTTATAAGCTCGTATGACCTCCTGACGCCATGTTCCATTACAACCGGTCAGATCGTCAGGTAGTGGAGGCCATCGAAAGTATAAAAAACCAAAACGAAATATAGATCTGCATTTTAATCAGATTGCAACTTTCACGATATTGCAAAAGATACCAATGGCGCTAAAATCATCTTTAAGACCAATTTTCTTTCTGTAATAAAGATTAAACTACAATGATTGTTTTTGTCTTCTATTTTAGAAAATTATTAAAATTTATCACACTCTTGTTCTTGTCTAATCGTCATTTGAGGAATTTTGAATACAATATTGTGAAAGTTAAATCCCTAAATGGATTATCCGTCCAAAATAGTTCAATTCCGTTCAGTATTTTCAAAGTTATGATTAATTGAAAAAAAATTTGCAATATTCAATATATAAACAACTCCACGCCACCTGAAAGCCAGGAGTAAAATCTTTTGATGGGCTTCTTTTGATGCGCCTGTTTCGATTCCGATTGAATGTAAACTGACAGACTATGTACCGTTGATATCTTGTTTTCTTTTGTTTTTAATTAGATGTTAAATAATAAATTTTTAATTAGATGTTAAATAATCAATTCTTAATTAGATGTTAAATAATCAATTTTTAATTAGATGTTAAATAATCATTTTTTTAATTAAATAATAAATTTTTAATTAGATGTTAAATAATCAATTTTTAATTAAATAATCAATTTTTAATTAAATAATCAATTTTTAATTAAATAATCAATTTTTAATTAGATGTTAAATAATCAATTTTTAATTAAATAATCAATTCTTAATTAGATGTTAAATAATCAATTTTTAATTAGATGTTAAATAATCAATTTTTAATTAGATATTAAATAATAAATTTTTAATTAAATAATAAATTTTTAATTAAATAATCAATTTTTAATTAAATAATCAATTTTTAATTAAATAATCAATTTTTAATTAGATGTTAAATAATCAATTTTTAATTAAATAATCAATTTTTAATTAGATGTTAAATAATCAATTTTTAATTAGATGTTAAATAATCAATTTTTAATTAGATGTTAAATAATCAATTTTTAATTAGATGTTAAATAGCTTATCAAGTAGAATACAATTATCTAGCTAATAAATAAGAATACAATTATCTAGCTAATAAAGTAGAATACAATTATCTAGCTAATAAAGTAGAATACAATTATTTAGCTTATAAAGTAGAATACAGTTATTTAACTTATAAAGTAGAATGCAGTTATCTAGTTTATAAAGTAGAATACAATTATCTAGCTAATAAAGTAGAATGCAATTATTTAGCTTATAAAGTAGAATACAGTTATTTAGCTTATAAAGTAGAATGCAATTAATGTATCTCATTGTAAAGAGAATATCAGTCAAAAACTGGTTTAATTCAGTTCATTATTAGAAATTTCATCGATATGATGCTTGCTATATAAAAGCCCATCCCCATTTTGTTGTTTCTGAATATAATTGATGGGCCTGTATTAAATCCGATTGAATTTAAACCGGGAGATTATTTAGCGTTGGTATTCGGATTTTTGTTCCTAAATTAAAAGATTAAACAACCAATATGAGTATATATTAGCGTGAGAAGATTTGATATTTTGGTGACAAATACAAAAGACACAATGAGAAACAATAAACATACATAATTTATCGTATGGGCGAAAACATATCTTGATAATATCGGTCTAATTAAAGTTTCTATATAATGTAACTTAATAATGCAGGTCTAATTAAAGTTATTAAATAATGTAACCTAATAATGCGGGTATAATTAAAGTTCCCTTGTTATGTAACTTAATATTGAGAGTCTAATTAAAGTTCCCTTATAATGTAACTTAATATTGCAGGTCTAATTAAAGTTCCTATAAAATGTAACTTAATGTTGCGAGTCGAATTAAAGTTACCTTGTAATGTAACTTAATAATGAGGGTCTAATTAAAGTTACCTTATAATGTAACTTAATAACGCGGGTCTAATTAAAGTTCCTATATAATGTAACTTAATAATGTGGGTCTAATTAAAGTTCATATGTAATGCAACTTAATAATGTGGGTATAATTAAAGTTCCTATATAATGTTACTTAATAATACGGTCTAATTAAAGTTCCTGTATAATGTAACTTAATAATGCGGGTCTAATTAAAGTTCCTATATAATGTTACTTAATATTGCGGGTATAATTAAAGTTCCCTTATAATGTAACTTAATAATGTGGGTATAATAAGAGTTCCTATATAATGTTACTTAATAATACGGGTCTAATTAAAGTTCCCTTATAATGTAACTTAATAATGCGGGTATAATTAAAGTTCCTATATAATGTAACTTAATATTGTGGTTCTAATAAACGTTCCTATATAATGTAACTCAATTCGAGTTCCAATATAATTTAACACAATGATGCGAGTCTAATTAAAGTTCATATATAATGCAATTTAATAATATTAAAGTTTCTATATAATGTGACTCAATAACGCGGGTCTAATTAAAGTTTCTGTATAATGTAACTTAATAATGTGGGTCTAATTAAAGTTCCCTTATAATGTAACTTAATAATGTGGGTCTAATTAAAGTTCCCTTATAATGTTACTTAATATTGTGGGTCTAATTAAAGTTCTTATATAATGTAACTTAATAATGTGGGTATAATTAACGTTCCTACATAATGTAACTTAATAATGTGGGTATAATTAAAGTTCCTATATAATGTTACTTAATATTGCGGGTCTAATTAAAGTTCCTATATAATGTAACTCAATAATGCGGGTCTAATTAACGTTCCTATATAATGTTACTCAATAATCCGGGTCTAATTCGAGTTCCTATGTAATGTAACTCAATAATGCGAGTCTAATTAAAGTTCCTATATAATGTAACTTAATAATATTAAAGTTTCTATATCATGTGACTCAATAATGCGGGTCTAATTAAAGTTCCTATATAATGTAACTTAATAATGCGGGTACAATTAAAGCTCCTATATAAAGCGACATCAAAATATAAATGATGCGGGTATAATTAAAGTTTCGAAATAATGTGATTTCAATATTCCTATACATTGTCGCTTTAAAATACACATGATGTGGCAATATATGACATTAAAACATACATTGTGTGACAAATTATTCTCCACAACTGAACGATTCAGGGACGTATGTCCGGTTACCAGGACATTGGGTAACATACATTGTATTGGGTTCAACACAAATTATAAACTTCTTGGGATCAAGGTCGTTTATGTGTAGACGATTGTTGTTATCTGTCAAATCAACACCCGGTTCACACGGGTTCGGAACACCCAACCATGAATCTGAAGATATAGTTTAGATATCAAGGAATCAATCAGACATTATTGTACGTACACGTGTGAACTGCTGTTTTAAACAATTTGAATATATTTACAACGACAACAAAAAAGTCTTATCGGGTAATTATTTCCAATAAAAATATGACATCTTTGGTATACATAGCAAGTAGAAACACAGACTCTTACTAGAAAAGTGGTGGATTTTATGGGGCGCACACAGGAGGACAATTCCAAAACGGAGCCCATCTCCTAGAGTGACGTAAGGAGTGATTCTTATGTTCTAATCTAATGGCTAACGCTTGTGAGAACATTTTCAGACATTGGATAGTTTCTTCCGATAAAAATGTTTTGGGGGGAATTTGACACACTTGCGATAGATAAATTAGTTTAAATAAGTTTTTAGTCCAAATCTATCATCAAATCACGCAGTTTGTACGCGGGAATGCATCTTTAACGTCTGATCGTTCTGCCCCAACCGGGATAATTAAGACAGGCATACGCCCGGCAGTGTACTATGCATATGTGAAAACCTCTGGTTAAAGAATCCGCGTGGGTGAAAATAAAAGAAAACTGAGTTATTGATATATTCGGATTCCACATTCATTTGATTATTTTGATAACAGGTTTGTTGTGAAAGTCCTGGCAGTGCGCTCGATATGGTACCGCAAAAACACGTACAAAAATCAGGCTTATTCCTTTGTTTTACCATGATTAATTCATAGTTTTTACCTACGTTATGATTTTTATTTTGACCTTTTGGGATATGAACCAGAGATATTTTCGCAGAAATCTCAAATTCACAATTTTCGTCCCAAAGCACGTCTATACAATGTACTGAGTTACGATGGCTTGTAGTATGCGAATCCTTTAGCCAGAGCGGATAAAGCAAGTGACATTGATTCCATTCATTATAATTTTTCGGGATTTTCTATGTATAATAAAGATACGGAGTGGCACGAAACAAGTTTGTCAACGGATACGCTCACCAGCAATCACGTGTCCTGCCCTTATCTACATCTTGGCAACCATGGCGAAAATTAAGCTGGCCTTAACAAACAGATTTAGACATGAAACACCCAGGTTCCGTGTGCACGTACAGAATGATTGACAGTTACAATTCGACGAGGGGTAAGTACAAATGTAGCATACTGTATGTCGTATAGCCGTCTTCATTTGTACAATTGGTGCAGAAAAGTACGACCTTAAACCTCATTTTACTGAATAACGGTATGACAAATAAACAAAATAATAATATTGCATCGTTCATACTATTCTAAGATGTTCCCCAACAACAAGGCATGGTGGCGATGAAGCTTACTGTGCACCAATTGGGGCTTGGGAATCGTGCACCAATTGCAGCTTGTGAATTGTACAACAATTGGAGCTTGTGAATTGTACAACAATTGGAGCTTGTGAATTGTGCAAAACCTGGAGCTTCTGAATTGTATATTAGTGCCATGTTTGAAATATGATAAAAGTGCTGTATATAATGTGGTTAAATGATAATACCTTTTGACAAGAACGTGTTGTACTGACTGGTCTGGACGTCAAATAAAGTACAGTTCTGTGGTTTGTTGTCCTTTTTGCAAGTCAGCTCAGGTCCTGAAAAACACCAGCACGGAATAGATTCTGTAAATTGTTTGATTTATTGAAGCGTAACAGTTTTGATAATTCTGGAAGTGTTTATTCCACTTTTGTCGGGCATGTCCGTCCGCCTTGTTGAGGACATCGTTTGGCTGATATATGTGATAGGAGAGGCTAAATTAAATACTATCTGAGATTATTTCAATGTATGCAAGAATCTTGAACACCATTTGAAACTATCTTACAGAGCAAAAACATTCAATAACTGCAATACCATTTGTTGAGGCGTTATCACAAGACCAGGTGTTGCGATGTTATCTCAAGACCAGTTGTTGAGACGTTATCTCACGACCAGGTTTTAGAGGTTATCTCAAGACCAGTTGTTGGGACGTTATCTCAAGACCAGATGTTGAAGGGTTATCTCAAACGTAAAGGTATATAATATAATTACCAAATAAACGTTATCATTTTGGCTTAGAATCGAAGAGAAGCGTTTAAATTTACACTTGCTTCCAGCTTTTTGTGACGAATCAGGTGATATACATATATGAATAGTCAATTGGAAATAAACTCACCTTGACCCTGTATTTGGGTTTGGACAGTCAATGCTATATTATATATACTATTGACTGCCTCCATCAACTCTTGATTTGGCGGGCTGGATGTTGGAGTGGCAGTGTTTTCAGATACCAAAGGTACACCAAGATCTATAGGTAATATATTATTGTCACCACACGTAAACCTGTCTTGATGGTATTGCTCTCCACTTGGACATTGTATGACATACATATTACCCTCAACATCACATTTGATAAATTTGGTAGAGTCGAGAGGATTCTGGTGGAAAGCTTTGATCGGGTCAGAAACATCAACACCTTTGTAACAAGGATTCACAACATTCACTACTTCACCTAGTGGAACAAAATAAATGGAGCGTATCAACAAATTGTAACATCAAACACCAAAAACTATCCGCCAAATGGCACTGACCACGAAGGTCAAGGTAACGGACAGGATAATGGTTAGGGTGATATCGCAGTCATGTTTCCTAAGAAGATCCAGTTATGACTGATAGGAATGATGGGAGAAGGAAATATGAATTCGCAGTCCCTATATCCATAGTTATAAGTTTTTCGTCATACAGTGTTTCTGTTTCAAATTTAGATGGGGTTTATTGTCCATTTAACCATGCATGAATCATTAGAATACGAGACACGCCAGGTTATTCGCCTTGCAAAAATAAAGGTGTTTATTATCCATTCGACCACATGTTTCCAATAATCAAAATTGATGGAATTTCAGATTTGTGCAACAGTTTAAAATGTTTTGTACACAGACTCCAGAAATCCCAATCAACAAAATAAAACCAAAATAGAACTCATATTGACCTACTTTTAAGTGTGTATTTGTTAAATTGACTAATTTGAAAATCTAGAGGAGTACAGTCCCTTTCTACGCCATCTTCTCGACACGTTATATCAGCTCCTGCAATACAAAAGTACACCTTCAACTAGAAACATTTTCCACAAAAAAACATTATTTAATAAAATATTCACCATTGAGCAAAGACAAAGTAAAACCAAAGTTTCTTAGCTATGAGTATGGAAGGGTGACGCTGCCAATATTAAATGTTCTGCTACAATGTCTTTTCCATTGATTATATGTAAAAGGTACACCGTACAAAGTCCTAATACCGGTAATGATAAAGTCAAAATACCTCTAAGGCAAAAGTTAAATGTAAAACGTCAAATGTTAAGTGTTAAATGACAAATGTTTTGTGGGAAAATGCTTTTTTTGACGTGTCTACATTTTACATTTCTCTCATTACATTTTACATTTGCGCTCTGCCACATCCCATGTGTCCTTCACGCTTTCTACATAGCAGCTTTCGCACAGCATCAACTTGCATATGCAAATGTAGGATATCACGTGACTTATTAACATATACGGAAACATGGAACACACTACAAGCCAGAACAAGGATATTCACGACACTATAACAGAAAATCAGCCTAGCACACAATAAGAAATTTACTTACCTTGTCACTATGAATGGTATTTTACCATGACTACGGGGTGTGGGTGTGGGGGCTGTGCAATGTCCAAATACGAAATTCCAGGTATCATGTTACATATTAGTAAAAAGCACGTCCTGTTTGTAAATATGTAAATAGTTTTCTGGTACAATCGTATTTTCATAATTTAAATCCAATAAATATCACACTATTAAAGGGGTATTCAAGTAAAAATACTGGTCTAGATACGAAATTCCAGATACCATGTTACGTATCACTGATTGTTCGTTTTAAATATGCAAATAATTCTCTGGCACATTCATATTTGCTTAACTTTACAAAATAAGATTAAAGTTGAAGTGATGGAAGGGTGGGGGGGATAAACTAAATTAAAATAAAGATACGGGGCTTAATCAAAAATTCTCTATGTCCATACTAAAAAACGTATAGTCATTCCTCTCTTTAAATATATTATTTATTTGTTGGGCACAATGCTTATATATTGTTATTTTGTTAATGGATCAAAGTTAATTAGGCTGTACTCAATTCTGTTTATAGAGAGACCAGAAAGAGTGGGGATGTTTAAAATATCAAAATACGGTATAAATACGAAATTCCAGTTATTGTGTTATAAATTACTGGAAAGTATGTTTCTTTTGCTGTTTGAATCTATCAATTATTTCCTGGCACATTCATGATTACGCACGGTCCTCTAGATAGTTTCTTATGGTGTGCCAGCTCAGCTTGATTTACTGATATCGTGCGGTGATTATCCTTATAGTATGCTGGTTTATAGTGTGCCGGGTTTCCGTATATGTTAATAAGTCACGTGATATCTTACTTTTGCATATGCAAGTTGATGCTGTGCGAAAGCTGCTATGTAGAAAGCGTGACGGACAAATCGGATGTGGCAGAGCGCAAATGTAAAATGTAGTGAGAGAAATGTAAAATGTAGACACGTCAAAAAAAAAAGCATTTTCCCACAAAAAACTTGTCATTTAACACTTAACATTTGACGTTTTACATTTATCTCTTGTCTTAGAGGTATTTTGACTTTATCGTTATCGGTATTAGAACTTTGTACATTGTACTTTGTACATATAATCAATGGAAACGACATTGTCGCAGAGCATTTAATATTGGCAGCGATACCCTTCCATATATGTGAACTTCTCAAAAAGAGTATAACGCGTTCCTACTTTCCTATTGCTATTGGTTCTTATATTTCAAAACGGTATATTAAATTAAGAAAAAGGTTTAATGTCCTACCGTACCAGCCGGGCTATCGAAAACGATAACACGTCATTCAGTGTACTACTAGAGGATCTGTAGACAAGAGGCTTTTCCTGGCCTCGTCCTTTTCATGGTACTACTATAGCAATGTGAAACCAGGCTTGAAGATGACCAGGAATTTTCTGGGGCCAACACCGGGATCGAACATGAGACCTCTTGGTTAGTGAATCATCATCATACTCATCATTTATCTCACTTTATTTTAATAGTGTGATACTAGTACTTACCTCCCTTTGTTTTAACAGTGTGATACAGGTGGACACAGATCACCAAATTTTCCTACGCCGTCACCCACGAAACAAGGGCCAAAGCTATTTTTAGTCTTCCTCTCCCTTTTCCCCCTTTTGTTGACTTTTTGGTGTAGAAACGAAGAAAAGGGTTTGAAAATACATTTTCTGCCAGGTTTTGGTGAATATTCATAATTTTGATGCGGAAGGATACAAGAGTTGAGAGACTGGTTAGGTTGAAATGCACGGCCTGAAATTGCATGTTTATTTGTCTCTACTTCCAGCTTGTGTATCTCAAGTTTTTCATGAAGAACCTCATACGTGCTTTTGGGCAAGTGGTTGCCACATGTTGCTCCATCTGTGGTAGAAAGCGTTCTACCCAACGAAAATTTGGGAAAAAGTCAGAGCCGGTCTAAGATACGAGAATTAACATTGGAGTCAATGGGGAAATCTTTAGTGATCTGTGGCCAGGTACCTACCTCCCTTTTTTAAAATAGTTTGAAACTGGTACTTACCTCCCTTCGTTTTAATATTGTGATACTGGTACTTACCCGCCTTTTCGTCCAGGATAACCTTTACATTAATAGTAGGATTATCACATCCTACAGCTGTCTTGGTAGCTGTCGGGTTGTATTTTTCACCCTCGTAGGTGATATACAGAGGTCGACCACTTTCATCTTGTGTCGTCATCACTGACGGCGATCCCGCTAGAGCCACATCACTATAGGCATAGACAGCAGCACTTGGATGATTAGAATTATAAGACGCATAGATATACACCACGCTACACGACACATCTGTCTGTAAGAATAATAATTCTAATAATAATCGGGGGTTTAACGTTCGCTTCCAGGATGATGTCGCAGAATGGTGTTTCTTAGGCTAAATCTATTTGATAAGGCCAGCTCAATTTTTATGAAGGTCACTGAGAATAAGTAAATAAGGTTATGACACGTGATTGTTGGCGAGATTGTAGGTTTGATGTTAGTATAAGCATTGGAGCTAGGTCCAGGGTTAGGTTTAAGAATTTTGGGGAGAGCTTAAGTCTCCACATAAGCACTGATCTAGGATTATGAACTATGACGAACAATTGAGCTGGCCTTATCATTTAGCACTAACAGTGTTTCTTAGATATGCACATGTTAAATCTGTAACAATATATGGCAGATTTTACTCGTGCCCATTAACACTTATCGGACGTTACTTTCCGTATCAGTGAAACTGTTTAAAAGGTGAGAGTCATGGAGTTTAACGTCCACTTGACACAAATTAGGTCATTTCGGGACTAACATATGGTTCAATTTTATTTCAACTCTACCCAACTCCTTTCCTTGTCACGTACAACCGCTGAATCAAAACCACGCCACTTGACTCAATGACAGACCTTATGACAGCGCGCACCCCGCTGTTTAAAAGGTATCCATACAAAGTTGTCCCCGGGTTTAAATTGATGGACAGCAAATAATCATCGATCAAGCCATATTAACCCGTCACGTATGCGAAATTGGCTATTTCTCGATAATGGACCATATTAGAAACCATTTTGTGGTCTCTGCGTGATCGTATATAAAGGGTCGTGTCAGAGACTTTGAGCGGCAGGGTTCCACAGTGGAGGGCGCGGGTAAACTACCCGCGAATGTGATAAATTCAAAAGTTTTGAGACAATATTCCTGCTCATTTAGGTGCATCCATGTATATGATTACTGTGGAGTCAAAACGGCGTTATTTCCATGAATGTAGGAAAGAAAAAAATATTCCCTGCGCCAGCGACGGAAAGGTGTGAACACCATGGACCTCCGCCCTTCCCCTCTGGACACACGCCTGATATATTCATACTTTTTTAGTGAACAATAACTTACAACAAGGGTAGTAGGATTAGTGGAATTAGCTGAAGAATTTGTGGTGGGTGCTGGAATGACAATGTTTACTCTTGTTTCAATCCCTGTAAAAGGTATCTGCTTTTCTAGTACCCCAGAATCAACACCAGGGTCGCGTTTGAATACTAGTTGAGCTACGAATAAAAGTATTACATAAACATTAAAAAGTAGGTATCCGGAACTTAGCACTGGGATGCAGGGTCCTACCTCCAATATATTGAATATAACATCGTTGTAGATGTCCCAATCCGACTAAAATCAAGGTCGACATCTTGATTGAAGCATCTGGCATTTTCGTTGTGGCAAAACCGTATAGAGAGATGAAATTCGTATGATGAAAATATCATGGGAAGCTATGGATTTTCAGCCCACTGCACGTGCGCCCATTACGGTGCTAATCTTTAAGAGGCATTTAGAGATTGTGAAACAGAAAAACGGAACACAATTTTAATGGGAAACATTCACTTATTTATCCCAAAAGCAGGACGTTTCGACAAGTATCCTGTTATCGTTATCAAACACATTTATAACGATAAGAGGATACTTGTTAAAACGTCGTGCTTTTGGGATAAATTAGTGATTATTTCCCATAAAAATTATTGTATTGCCTTAAACAAAATGAATAATCACGCCAAGACCAATTTATAGAAGCTGGGAAATGAGGAAAACAGTATTTATCTATCTAAATTAGTAACGTCTTACCTCGACATGCACGTTTCTGTATTGCGTTAATAATTGTCTCAATTTCAGAAAAATCCCTTAAAATGAAAACATGGGTACAATAAGGATCTGAGGAGATGACCTTTAATTCGTTTTCATTTATTTTATTCCCAACACCAATAGCGAACACTGTTACTCCTTTAGATTTTAATTGTATAGAGGCTGCTGCTGTGTCGTATAGATCGCCAGACTGTCCATCAGTTATTACCAACGCTACCTTTGCAGAATAATTTCTCATTCCTTTCTCGGCAACAAATACCTCATTAGCAGCCAGACTTAGTCCTTTATCTGTATTGGTGATACTGGATGGGTGCTCTATTTCACTAATAGCCTGGTTTAAGCTTCTCTCAGTAGAATGATCATTTAAATAGAACTCTACCAAAGCCCGATGACTGAAGGTAACGGCAGCTACCTGAGTCATTTTCGGACCTATATCCAAACGGTTTGTGACTTCAATCATAAACTGCCGAACTGTATTGAAGCCATCACGTCCAATACTGCCAGAGCCATCAACAACAAAAGTTAAATCTACTGCTTTCGTACAAACGTCTGTGGGACGATAAAATATTTATACAACATAAACATATACATTTGAAAATGCAAAGAAAAGTTATATTGCGATGTGGATCATTGATAGCTGTCGCGTATGACATATGAAATGAAACGAAATGTGGGTTTAACGTCCTACTGGGCTAATGAAGACGTGCATACGCCATACAGTGGGATATGAGGGAATTGTGCTCGGACAGTGGCGCTATGGCCTACTATTATATTGATTCCAACTGCCAAGGGATCTTTAACGTGCACGCCAATGTGTACACGGGACCCCGGGTTTTCGTTTCATCAGAACGACTAGATAGCTGTACTTGTCAGACCCTCGGTCCTGCACCACTGACAAACAGGAAACGACGCCGAAAAATCCCGATCAATTTTCTCGGCCAAAGCCGGGGGTGAGCTATCGCGTATGACAATATGTAATTCACAATACAGTTTACCGTGGATATACCAAATAAACGCTGTATATTCACGCACGCTGGCATTGCTGCGTGGCCCAAAGGCACAAGTAGTTGTACATTAATAAATATAGTATATATGTTATTGTTCTTTATCACAGTTTATGACAACTGGTGAACATGTTTTCGGATTATGGCAAGTTTGATTTATATAAACATTTGACTTTGTATTTATTTATAAGATGTATGATAGTTAATATTTTCTAAGGTTGGGTAATTCACGGGGCTGACTGTACTCGGTTGTCGTGATTTGGGACTCGTCTTGGGACACGGCTCGGACTCCAGCGACTTGTTCCCGCCTCTGGTGTTGTTAAATATGGGTCTTTCTGTAAAATATTGTTAACCGTGTCAACTGTATTGTTTACATGTAAAACTGTTTGTGTATATGTCGTCTGTTAGAGAGGTATACGCATGCGCGAAAGGAAGTGAGGACCGGTAGATGAGAATATGGCGAGAGAGAGAGAGAAATGGGGTTTAACGTCCACTCGACACAAACTAGGTCATTTCGGGACCAACACATGGTTCAATTTTATTTCCATAATTCGCTTGTGCGTAGGGTTCTGTAGCAGTGGGAGGAAAGCGGGGGACCCGGAGAAAACCCACGACGTTGGACAGGCGAACCTACTCCTTGTCACGTACAACCGGGGAATCGAAACCACGCTAGTTGACTCAATGACAGACTTTATGATACAACGCGCACGTGCTAACCATTCAGCCATCCAACCCCTGAGAATATGGCGGGAGTAAAGAGTGTGGTTTAGGAGAAAGAAATGATAATAAAAGTGTTTACAGACAATTAGTTATTGAAGTTTACAGATATGGATATGGGGATCGTTATTATTCCATAGAACAGACAGAAACACCGCGCGCATGCCAATTTTTATTAGCGCGATTGGTGTAGAAAAGTAACGTGTTCAAACCCATTTGATTTAATATTTTGCCAGATTATTCAATACTTACAATTATTTGCTTGAATAATATTTAGAAAGTACGACGTGTCTTCTTCCGGAGCGAACAGAGTCTTCCAGATCAGCGACTGTTGCGTTCGATTTCCTGATATTCCGTGTGTGGTATGTGATGCGATGTTATACGTGTACATGATGAACAGTGAAGCAGCCATGCCCGAATACAACGGCTTACGCAAATCTCTCCACGTAGTCCTCTGCCAGTTGATTCTCAGCCTGGTTTTAATATTTTCACAAACATATTCTAGAATACCAGGGCATGTCCGTGTTTGTTCGTACTTCTCCTTATCAACCTAAAAGAGTGTTAAAACATAACATAACTCAGTTGTACGCCCATTGTAAAAAAAACCTGATCGGTATCAAATTGCTCATTTCTGATCAGCTTTTAGAGAAAGCAGCTTCAACACAGCTCAATGACTATCTTTCAGAAAACTGTTTGTTTGGTAAATTTCATTCTGCGCACGGGCGTGGGAATAGTGTTGAAACAGCCCTCTTATGAGTGCAAAACGACGTTTTGCTAGCGCTCGATAATTAACGTGACGTCATCCTTGTGCTATTAGATCTGTCAGCGGCGTTCGATACAATTGATGATGATATTCTTATCCAACGTTTGCAAACACGTTTTGAATTTGGGGAAGCAGTTCTGGATTGGGTCGCACACAGAGGGTTGGTATAAATTCGAATCTATCCGATGAGGCACGTCTGGAGTAGGGTGTACCTCAAGGTTCAGTTCTCGGGTCTGAGCTGTTTTCACTGTATGTTTCCCCACTCGAAGATATTATTATCAGGCATGCTAGCATTAAATGACGGGAAGACGGGGGTTGTCTGGATTTTGTCCAAGTACAAGAAGGCGGATGTGCGAGTCAGCACTACAAATGTACGGTTAAGAATTGGTGCGACAGAGATCAGTCCCTCTGGTTCATGCTTTTGTGACCTCTAGATTAGATTTCTGGTATGGTCTAATACATGGACTCCATGACACAGCACTAAAAAAACTTCAAAGAATTCAAAATTCTGCAGCACGGCTTGTGACTCGGACACATCTCCATGAACGTATCATCCTCGTTCTTTCGAGACCTACATTGGCTTCCCATTGTACACAGATGTCGCTTTAAAATTTCATGATTAACCTTTAAATTAATTTTTGATCCTTCCGCTCCTGTGTATTTTAAATAACTCCTTTGGGTCCAAACACCGAAACGTTTAACAAAATCGTCAGAAGCTGCCGAGGCTCAGCTTAGCAACTATAAAGTCCAACAAAACATATGGGGATAGAGCATTTATGCACAGCGCACCGAAGTCTTGAAATGAATTACCTGTTTTTATTTAAAGACAATTACCATCAATTTTTAAATGTTTAGCAAGGTTAAAATAATTTACTTCAAATTATACCTACAACATTGTAAAGGGCGTTGTAATTATAATTTGTATATTGTAATGCGCTAAATAAGAATAAATTATTAATATTATTATTATTATTATTATAACGTCGAATGACTTTAAATTTTACAATATGTGTTAAAAGTAAGCCATTAATTATTGTAATAAAAACCCGACGAGTTCCGTAAATTATGTCAGATAGTCGTAGACCTTTCGAAGTATATTTATAATCTAAATCAGAGATAAGAATTTGGTGTCATCGTTTGACACGACTGGTGGAATATGTCTAGCCTCGTTCTTCGAGTCCCTTGTTACAAATGGTACTGAAATGCATCATGGTACACGATTCGTGTACCAATGGTATAATGTTTATTTTGTCTTAAATGTTGGATATCTGTGGTCGGGTGTGGGTGTGGGGTCGAATGGTTTAATGCTTGCGCTTTAGATGATATGTTCTGTTATTGAGTTTGGTAGCGTGGTTTCGATTCCCCGCTTGTACGTGATAATGAGCAGGGTCGCCTGTCCAACCTCGTGGCCCCCTCTTCCCTATATATAGATAAATAAAAATACGTCCAGGTAAAGAATTCACTACTTGACTCCATTCTGATATACATTAAATTTATCTGTCACTGTCTCTGTCTCTGTTTCTCTCTCTCTCTCTCTCTCTCTCTCTCTCTCCTATTATAGCAAGAACGACCCGCTCTGGTTGATGCTCATTTAATTAATATACAGGTAACTTACCTGCCAGATTCCACCATGATAACTATCTCTATAAGTTTTAGCATCTTCACCATCGTTTGATTGAACCAGAGCTAAACGTCTTAAAAACAAGCGATCAGAGGCAAATATACAATGGCTTCTAATGGCGTCAACCACAGCCTGAACGACATGTTCACCCTTTGCATTTTCCTGTCTGGTAAAGTCTGTCTGCGATTTAGTGTCATCAACATTCACCAGTACGACGAGGATAAGCAAGGCGTACTTCTTCATACTCGGTCACCTGAAATATTATTAGCAGTTAACAGGCAGTGTGAAGTTAGCTCGATTTTCGTTTTTCGTTTTGCGATATTGGCGAATAACGAAAAACGACTAGCTCGTTTTTCGATATTGGCGAAAGACGAAAAACGAGCAACTCGTTTTTCGATATTCAAACTTGAATCTCAAAAAAGCAGATTTGATGGATGTATCTACAGGATGTCTCCAAAACATATTTGATTAAAAAAGTATTCTAAAACAGACTAAAGATAACATAAATGAGGATGCCCGAGCAGTGGATTCACATAAAACAGCTCTTTCTCCTTGGTTTTTTTTCATATTGGCGAATGTTTTTCGATATTCAAACTTGAATCTCAAAAAAGCAGATTTGATGGTTGTATATTTATAGGATGACTCTAAAACATATTTGTTTAAATACGTTTTCTAAAACAAACTAAAGGTATCATAAATGAGGATGCCTGAGCAGTGGATTCGCATAAAAACTTCTCTTGCTACTTGTTTTTTGATATTGGCGAATGTTCGATATTCAGGCTTGAATCTCAAAAAAGCAGATTTGATGGTTATGTATCTACAGGATGTCTCCAAAGCACATTTGATTAAATAAGTATTCTAAAATGAACTAAAGATAACATAATTGAGGATGCCTGAGCAGTGGATTCACATAAAAAAGCTTTTTTCTCCTTGTTTTTTTTGGTCATATTTGCGAATGTTTTCGATATTCAAACTTGAATCTAAAAAAAGCAAGGAAAAAGAGCTTTTTATGTGAATGCACTGCTCAGGCATCCTCATTTATGATATCTTTAGTTCGTTTTAAAATAGTTATTTAATCAAATATGTTTTGGAGACATCCTGTAGATATACATCCATCAAATCTGCTTTTTTGAGGTAGTAGTTTGAATATCGAAAAAAGAGTAGGTCGTTTTTCGACATTCGCTAATATCGAAAAACGAGCTAGTTGTTTTTCGTTATTTCGTTTTTCGATATTCACCAATATCAAAAAACGAAAATCGAGCTAACTTCACACTGCTCAGTTAATATGTGTCTCATGACAATTAGAAACCAAGGTCGCTCTGTGAGTATGGCGAAATGAAACGAGGTTTAAAGACCTACTGTTCTGCCCCCACAGGTTAATGGAGGCGAGCTTACGCCATACAGTGTGCTATGACGACAATTTCGCCCAAACAGCGGCACTACCTCCCACTCTTATATCAAATTCCAACTGCCAAGGGATCTTTCACGTTCACACCAATGTCTACACGGACCTCGTCCTGCACCACTGACACTATGTGTATGATACTTACTCAGTAACCGTGATGTACCGGTTTCGATGACGGTGTTTTCCTCGTGATTTTCTATTCTGGTTTCCACTTATCAATGGTGCAGGATAAAGCGTGTATTCCTTCGGATAGAATGGAAACCTTAGTACATCCAGTCTACTTGTTGACCTGCGCCTGCAAGAACCTTTGTCAAATGAAGAGTAGGCGGAAACGCCAAAATACTTCACACGTCACCATAGAAACAATAGAGACTTTTGGCAAGCGTAATTTCCTGGTCCGTATCGCGTATCCGTATGGATTTTGCGTGTGACGTCATCAATGTCTGTATATTTCTCATACGTGATACGGCACACGGGTACGGCAGCACGTATGGAACGGCTTTCATACTGAAATGGTCCGTATAACACTGTCTTTTTGCTACTTTTTGCTACTTTACGGTCTTTTTGCTACTTTTAGACGCTGAAATGTTGCATCATAGCGTTTTTATGAATCTATGTGTATCCTAGAACACGAAGGTGTATATTTGATGTGATTTTAACAGTGATAACGACTGGAATTTAATCATTATTTTTGATGGGTTTTTCTCGGAATTTTCATATTTTCCCCGCCTGTCTGCATACTGGTTGATCTACGGGCTAAACCTTCTGAAATGATACATTAGTGAAACCAAAAATTGCTAAAATCTGCCAAAACTCTAAAACTACATTGACGCAACGTATCACGCATACGATACGGATACGGGATACGGATGGGAAAAATCCGCTTGCCAAAAGTCTCTATTAACTTCATTCCCTCCGTTAACAAGAAATTTATTTCATTCCACAAAATGTGAACTCGATAAACGAAACACCTCTGTCCCGTGTATACATTGACGTTCACGTAAAATAATCCTTGACAGTTGGAATTCGATATTCGCCACAATTTCCATCATAGCACACGGTATGGCTTTTGACAGTCTTCATTAGCCCAGTCGACTGCAGAAAGTTATTAAGGTAATCCCCATAGCCCCGAGTTCAGAAAGTATTCTCAGACTTAAGTTAAGATTTTACTCAACTTTCAATCACTGTTTATGAGAAATATCTTTAATCCAGAAACACAAAAAAAGCACATAGTGTCTTATTGATGTATTTGAAACATTAAAACAACAAAAATTTTAAAAAGGGGCTATATTGTAGGTCACATAAGGCGAACAATTTTGAGTAAATTCTTAACTTAAGTCTGCGAATGCTTTGTGGACTATTGACTATTGACTTCACCTGGCCTTTCACATCCAACTAGCTAAAGATAGCAGCGAGTGTTGATAATTAAAATAATCGGCAAAATTTCTTAATCGTTCCTCTGTCCTCAAGCTATGCTAAACGAGTCTGTCGATTGAAGGACTTCGATTTTTGATCAGACGCCACAATTCCAAGATGGCTGCAAAGACGTCATTGTCTGCTCCTGGTCAACAGTACGGTGGTGCTTGCTTGTTAAATTTTTTATCGTGTGCTGAACATTACGTTAATAATTTATAATTTTGAGAATGTTAAGCGGCCATTTCAGTCTATTTCTGGTAAAATATGATATGTCAATACACACGTAAGCATCATTAACTCATAATATCAAGTCCAATAGAGCTGGTACTTGAAAACAGAATACCCTTTTAGCAATTAATAACTAAATGAGACTGGCCAAAAATCTGGACAAAATGTATCACTATATATCATAAATATTATGTACAGTTTTGTGCATACGACGCTGACAACATTCTTCAGACTCATCGAATTGTATGACGAACGACTACAGACAAAATTGTAAAACTTCTGGGGCGAATCGCTATTCAAGAACCAGGCTGTTCTGTCTCTACTAGGATGAACATTTGAGGTACGACTTGTTTGCTAACACCAACATATTTCTCAAAAACAAATCCACTATTACTATTTTTAATAGGTTGTTAAAACTCTTTAAATTGTTGAGGGGTTGGATGGCTGAATGGTTAGCATGCGCACGCTGTATCATAAAGTCTGTCATTGAGTCGACTGGCGTGGTTTGGAATCCCCGGTTGTACGTGACAGGGAGCAGGGTCGCCTGTCCAACCTCATGGGTTTTCTCCCGGTCCTCCGGTTTCCTCCCACTGCTAAAGACCCCTATTGTGTAAAACCTTGTGAACGCGATCCAGGCTATACATGTCCATGTAGTTTGCAAAGGATTCTTTTAAAATTTTGTGGCAAGCATTGGGCCCAGGAAAAGACGAACCCTATCGATAATCAACGTTTAGCTCCACTTTTCCGAAAAACGTTTTGAACGTGATAGAGGCTACGGCGTTTATCAGATTTATTTCAAATTTTGTTTGAAAGATAAGGGTCGCAAACCACATCGATATTCAGCTTTCCAGGATATTACATTTCCGAATTATGCCCCTTTTTCCGAGAAACTTGTGAACGCGATAACGGCTACAGTTTTTAACGGACCTTTTTAAAATTGGGTGCGAAGCATCGGTGTTATTGGGTGACGGGGCCCATCAATTATCAGCGTTCTGCGATCTTCAGTTCCGGAGTTAGCTCTCGTTACCAAAAACCTTATGGCTACAGTTTTTATCGGATTGTTTCCCTTAACTGCTAAACTGAATTACGTTACTATCAAGCGTTATAAGACTCCATTCAAGACGCCCTTACGTATAATATTTCATCTTCATACTTATACTTTACCTTTGTTTAAAAGTGTAACGTTTTCTAATTTATAAGATTCGTATAAGAAATTGATCTGTTATAAGAAATTCATAGTCTTCTTTTCAGATGTCATTTCTACTTTCTAATTTATAATTTATAGTATTTTGTAATGGGTGAAATTGATCTTGTAAATAATCGAGAAAAGTTTCCTACAGTCCCGATGATATCAACAGATCAAAATGAATTCGCTATTTTCACAATGACTGTCCTTGGTATGTTTATTTCGTTATTTTAGAGTTAGTTGTCGGCGCCCATGCATCAACAGATAAAATGAAATTGACTATTTTAACTATGGCTGTACTGGGTATGTTGTTTTGTTTTAGAGTTGTCGACAGTCCAGATATCGCCATATAAAAATGAAATTCATTTTTTATCACAATGGCCGTAGTGAGTATGTTGTTTGTTTGGTTGTTTTAGAGTTGTCTACAGTCAAGACATCAATAGCTCAAAATGAACTTGATTATTTTTACTATGGCTGTCGTCGGCAATACTATTTTCACTATGGCTGTCGTCGGCAATATGGCTGTCGTCGGCAATACTATTTTCAATATGGCTGTCGTCGGCATTACTATTTTCAATATGGCTGTCGTCAGCAATACTATTTTCAATATGGCTGTCGTTGGTATGTTGTTTGGTTGTTTTAGAGTTGTTTACAGCCAAGATATAAATAAATCAAATTGAACTTGACTATTTTCACAATGGCTGTCGTCGGTATGTTGATTTTATGGTTGTCTAAACTGTAAATTAATTATATGCATATTTTAATTGTTCTCAATCATAAACAAAATATCTATATAATTATTCATAGTGTATTTTAATATTGCAGGTATCGTAACTACAGTGACAGCAGATTGCGATTCCATGAAATGTATCAGACCACTGTCCATCGTTGATATATCAAATTCTGCAAACACATGTCCGTAAGTTTATTTATAGTGATGCAGAGATAGAAATGGGGTATTTAGGGACTAAGACATTATGGTTCAATTTTCTTTCAATAATTCGCCTG